CACAAAGCGGAATAAACAGAAACAGAATTTAATAAAAGCAAAACTTTTTTGCAGCTGCTGCTGCTTGCTGCTGCTGCTGTTGATTGCAAATGAAATGAATATTATTTGATTGAATAACAAGAGCTTCGTCCGGCAAAAAATAATTGCTGGCAATCTTTGTTATGTGTTTGCTTTTAAATCCAAATTAAATTAAACAATCAAGCACACGCGCGGCGGCAACAACAAACTGACATTTTGAGTTACAAAATGCGCTGCACTTAAAAGTATGCAACTCTTTTTTTTATTATTTATTTCGTATTTTTATATATATATTTTGTATTTATTTTTTACGCCACTCCATATGGCGTGTGCACAACTTTCGTCGAGTGTCAGTGGTGGTCGGTCAACGGCAATATTAATGGCAACAACTTTTAGCATATATATATATATAAAGTGGGAAAATGGGTTGGGAAAATGGTTGGGAAAATGGGTGGAGAAAATGGGTAGGGAAAATGGGTGGCGCAGGCAAAACTGCTGCCAAATGTATGCACAGGAAGCATTTGTAACGCGAGGAAGTTCCCTCCATTGCTCTCCGTCTTCATTCTCTTTCCAGTTTACCCCCTCCCCATTTTACCCCCTGCTGGGTTTCCCTAGCCATTTTTCCCCCAAAAACTTTCCCCCAGCTTTGCTTCCGCTACTCCTGCTGTCGCCTGATGGTCAAGCGCGCGCCTCCATTCGCTTTTAGGGTCACGAATTAGGGGTTACTCCTTGAAATCGCCTTTAGCTTTAACTGAATATTAGTAAGGAAATATTTTTTAAGGGTTTAAATAAGTATTAATTACAATAATTCATTTAATTGAATTTAATTTAATTTATTTTTTATCCTATAAAGGAGCAGAAGCATACAAAAAAAAACTTAAAAAATAAACTGAAAAATAGTACAATACCTCTTGAAAATCTATTAAAAAATTCAGCCATATTTTTTTTATTTATTTATTTATTATACCCTTGCAGGGTATTATAATTTCAGTCAGAAGTTTGCAACGCAGTGAAGGAGACGTTTCCGACCCTATAAAGTATATATATTCTTGATCAGCATCAACAGCCGAGTCGATCTAGCCATGTCCGTCTGTCCGTCTGTCCGTCTGTCCGTCTGTCCGTCTGTCCGTCTGTCCACCTGTCCGTTTCTACGCAAACTAGTCCCTCAGTTTTAAAGCTATCTGAATGAAACTTTGCACATAGTCTTCTATATACTCTCACTGCTATATATGTCGGAACGGGCCGGATCGGACGACTATATCATATAGCTGCCATACAAATGATCGATAAATTTTTAGAAAAAAATTATAACTTGGATGTTTTTTAACATTTTTGCACCATTTTTTAGATATGGCCATTTTATTTTATTTCTGAATTTTGGTAAAAATTTCACGAAAATCGGACGACTATATCTTATAGCTGCCATAGGAACGATCGGGAAATTAATAGGAAAAAAAATGATAACTTCGTTGTTTTTGAACGTATTTTCATCTACTTTGAGATATAAGCTTATTTTATTATTTTAGAATTTTGGTATAAATTTCATAAAAATCGGACAACTATATCATATAGCTGCCATAGAAACGATCGATAGATGTAGAGAAAATGTAAGGCTGGGAATGTAAAACTGTAACTGTCAAACTGTAAACATAATAAGTATAGGTAAAATGTAATGAAATGATATCTGCAAGGGTATACAAACTTCGGCGTGCCGAAGTTAGCTTCCTTTCTTGTTTTTTTTTAATTCAAATTTAAATATTTATTTTTATGAAAACATCAATAAATTACCAATTTTTTCCAACTGATTTATTTTTAAAATTTGTTTTATTTTATTAAATTTATTTTAAATATTTATTTTTATTAATTAAAATGTAAATATTTATTTTTTATAAAAACATTAACAAATGATACATTTTTTCTATAAAAAACAATCGATAAACCGTTAAAAATCGATAAAAAAAAAATCAACACTATTCTAACTAATATTCTTTTAATTTCTTTTAGTTTATTTATTAATATTTAAATATATTTTTTTACAAAAACCACCAAATTACCAATTTTCCTTATCAAAAAATTCACCCATTTTACTGAGTAACAAACTTGGACCAAAACAAAATGTTGCGTGTTTATTTTTTTTTTTTTTTTTGTTGTGACTGTTTAAGGGGGCGGTGGACAGGCGGAAGAAGAAGGAGGAGGAGGAGGAGGAGCAGGAGCAGAAGCAGCATGCAGGGCAGACTTCTCGCTGGGCCGCCGCTTGGCAGACTGTTTATGGTTTTTGGCTACAACTTAATTTAAATTGTTTAATTCTATTATTGTTGCTAATAAATCACAGGCACAGCTTGCGTTGCTCGCTGGCTGGCTTAGCATTTGCTAAGCTGGCCCAAAACACACACACGCACACACAGACACATTTGTCTTGTGCCTGCTGCTGCTGGTGTTGTTGTTGTTGTAAGCGGCTTTCGCACTCATTTGGCCCCCGTATTACCCCCCTCTTTCTCCTCCTGTTCCGCCCCCCCAGGGGTGCCATTCATTGTTTCTGCCTCGGCATTGGCACACTTGTGCCGTCCCTTTCCCGCCATAAATTACACAGATCTCTAAGCAAGTTTTGTAGCTAAAAAGTGGAACATTTTAGGCTTGAATTATTTTTTTTTTTAGTTTAGAATATGTCTTAATTTTAGGGGAATTTTTTTTTAATTTTAAATAGAAAAACTTAAAAAGAGCGAAATCTCGTTTTTCTTGTATAAAATAATTTCAAACTATATTTAAACCAGTCTTAAAATGCCACTGTTATCTTATATTACCTCCCAAAAATATATAAAAAATTAATATATATAAAAAATACTATAAATATCCCAAAGACAGACTACCCTTTGGGGAGTAATTTATAAATTTATATCTAAAAGAGCTAAGCCTGAACTAGCTGAAACTCTTGTTTTATAGGATAAACTCAGCCTTAAAAAAAAAATTCCAGAAAATTCAGAGAGCTAAAATTTCAATGGTCGCAAAAGAAAAAATTTATGAAAAAAAAGAAAACGAAAAAAAATGCAGCAAAAAAATACAGAAGCCCGCACACACAACAACCGCATGTCAAATGCAGGCCAGATCAGAGGCGGAAAATGGGGGCTGTTTTGGGGCGTGGCACACGCTTGACCAACGCTTGACATGGCCATAAATAACAAAGCCAAAATGGCGGCCAAAGCGGAGAGCCGCAGAAAAACCGAAACGAAACGAAAAAAAAAACAAGGAAAACCGAAATACCCCCTAAAAACCAAAGCAGGCCAAAAACCAAAACCCAAAACCCAATACCCAAGCGGAGATCCCCGAATAGAGAGCCAAATGTGATATGTCAAATGCACGCGATGGCAGCTGACGATGAGCCCTGGACAATGGCAATGATGTTGGGTCCGGGGACACCCATAACCCGGAATAAAAATAAGTCAAAGCAGATAAGGTCCTTGAAACAGGGTTAAAACGCGGCCTGAATCAGGGACTGTACGTGGTGGGAATTTTTGAAATTGAAGGGAGTTTTTTTTTTGTTTAGATAAAATCTATAAAAAAAATCTATATTTGTCAATTTTTTGAATACTTACAAATTAATATTTAAATTTCAATTTGAATGTAAGACTTTAAATCATAAAATTTAGGACATTTCTCTGAGCACCTAAAATGTAATATAAAAATTTAAATTTTAAGAAATTCTCTAAGCACTTAAAATTTTAATATTAATGTGAAAATTTAAATCTTAAAATTATAAGAAATTCTCTGAGCGCTTAAAATTTAATATTTACCATTAAAAACTGTGCCAACTGCGTAAATGCCTTTAGCATTCTGGTCTTGGGTTAACAAAAATATTTTTGAGCTACCAAAGAGGCAGGAAAAAAAAAGTTGTAATTTCTGTTGCACACTTGCGGGCGGCGCCTGAAAATGGCATCCACACACACACACAGGGAAGAAAAAAATGCAACAATGGCCGGGACAGGGGCAGTTATCGAGAAATGGCAGCAGCGACTGCATTTCCGCTTAATGTTGAGCGATAATAAAACACAAACAGCAACAAAATGAAACCTTTTCTTTCTCTTTTTGTTTTTTATTTGTCGCCACACAATGGCCACACACACACACACTCGTGCATTGATTTATGTTTTTTAATTTAAAATTTCCGCATCACTTAACCGTTAAAAATAATAATAACAATAACAGAAGCGGCAGCAGCAGCAGCAACAACAATAAGCCTTTTGTCCGCGAGGATGAGATTTAAATATTGCAACAGCGCCAAAAGGAGAGGCCAATGTAGAGCGAAAACTTTTGCACATGTTTTAATTTCCGCATTACAAGCGAGCTAAAAGCACTGGGAGAAAATTTGGGGGATTTTCTTTGCTGTTAATAAAGAGTTTTTAAAGGGAAAACTTTCCATTGGTAATTGAAATTTAAATTGAAAATAATTTTTATAATTAAAAATAATTTATAATAATTTAAAATTTAAATAAATAATTTGTAAAATTAATTTTGAGCAGCTTAATTAATGATTTTAAGTATTTACTGAAACATTATTAAAAAATAAAACAAATAAAAAAATTAATTTAAAAATATAAAATAAAAATAAAATTTAAAAGTAATAAATAAAAATAAATAAATAAATAATAAACAAAAAAAAAAAACAAATTTAAAAATAATAAAAATAATATTAATTGGTGCATTTATAATTCGCAACTGGTTCTAGTATCTCCGGAACCAAGAGGTAAAGCTAGTAGTGTGCACTTGTGGTGTTGTGTGTTTGTGCTATTACATGCATAAGTGCTATTAGATGTGTGCTAAGACTTAGTTAGCCTAAAAGTAAGTACATTTTTTTCTTAAAACAAGAAAAAGTGCACTTGAATTAAGAAAAACGCGTTAAGAAAAACATTTTTAACAAATATTTTAAATTTATAAAAAAATATTTTACCAGTGACTGACCCTCGTTTAATTATTATTACCTCTTACAGATTGGGCGGCCACCCACAGCAGATGCCGCAGAGCATGTCAACTGGCAGCAACACAATCGGCCATGGCGGCATCGATCGCGGCGGCGTTGGACTGCCAATGGGCGCTGGAACAATGCCCGGCGGTGTTGGAGGCGGTGGCGGCGGTGGACAGGTGGGCGTAGGCGGTGGCCCACAGGTGGGTCCGCCCGGGAGCGGTAATGGAGGCAACTGCCAGATAAGCGGCTCCCAGCCGCTGGTCATGCCCGGATTCCCGTTGCGTAATTCTCACTCAGCGCATGCACCGCATTATTCGCCATATTCACCATCCAGGTAAGTCATACATATACTATATATATAGATATATATAGTGCTCTTAGTACCTGTTAAAAGAAACCCCTTTACGAGCACCCTGAAACACCCTCACTGCACCTGGCCCGGGGGTCACAGTGAACACTCTCCAAGTGAATGAGCGTTAAATTGAGTGTTCAGCCGGGGTTCAGTGGGGGGGGATACGGCTTCCAGTCAAGTGATTTTGCTGAATCACAGGGGCCAAGAATTTAAAAACGATGAATTTCTAGGAGAATTTTATGACTTTTTCTGGACAAAAAGGTTTTTTTTTTTTATAAAATTTATTTAAATAGGTTTTGTTAATAAATAAATAACAAATAAGTTTCTTATGTTTTCAAAGCATTTTAAACCCCTCTTTGATTTGTTTATATACATTTTTTGCAACCCCTTGACTCAGCCTTAAAGGCTTGCCTTAGTTAGTAAGTCAAACTGCTGACTGAACTTTTCCCCTGTTAAGCAGAGCTCCCTAGTTAGTGCCTAACTCCTTAAAGAATTTTCCTCGAGGGGGATTTTCCCATTCGCTGCTTGCTCCCCTAGCTCCTGGCTCTCCTGAGTCTCTCCTCCCTTCTGCATTCCGCTTTTCCTACCCCCCCCTCGAGAGTTGAATCACCTTTGAAGGCTCGACTCTCGGACACTTTCGAGTCTAACCCAATTCTGGCCAAGTTTCGAAAGTTGCCAACTCAAGAATTGTTAATTCTCTTTAAGCTGCGACCATGCCGCCTTGTCCTGCGCCCTTTTCTCAGGACCACATTTTCCGCTTTTCTCTCGAGTTTTGTAACTCCCTCCGTCAGCGTTTCGTTCAACTTTTACGCAATTAGAGGCGACCACGCCGAAAGACTTGACAGCTCTGCCTGCGGCGGCTTAGACTTGTTGGCTGTATGTGTGATTAACACCCTTTTTTCGGGTGTGGGGTAGGTGGAAAAGTGTTGGGGGGGAGGGAGCCCTGGTCTTTGTCCTCCGACTTGTGCATCATTTTGCATGCGTTGCCTTTTCGGTTAGAGAGCTTTATTAAAAAAGTTGCCAGCTGTTGCCAGCAGTTGACAAACTCATTGGCGTACTAACTCTGCACTGTCCGCCGTTTTTTCTTTTATTTTTATATTTTTAGAGCGCCTCCGGGCACTTGGAAAAAATATTTTGGTGTTGTTTTGGAGAAAGAAATTTAAGTTTTAATATTATTTTTGTTAAATAAATTCGTATTTCAAGCCTCATTTAGTTTTTCTTCTTATGGTTATATTTTTGAAATGGAAAATAAGGTCACACTGTTTGTGCTGAAAGCTAAGAAACACTTTTTAAGTCAGGTGTAAGGGGTCAATACACTTCTTATCAAAGAGAGTCTAAAATTTGACCATTATTTCTGCCTTAAAATATTTATTTACATTTTTTTATATATTTTTTTAATGGTTTAAGACCATTTTTGCCTTTCTTCCTGACCTTTGGAGTGTTTTAATATATTTTCCCCCTGTGCACTCTCTTGATTTTGCCTGCTCCATGTGTGTGTTTGTTTGGTTGGCTGGTTTCTGTGGTCCTTGTGATATGTCAAGCGTCTAAAGCCACAGGACATGGCGGAGGACACTGGGACAAGCATAGGGACAGGGACATGGAGATAGTGATAGAAGCGAGTGGCTTTATCTATCCCTGTCTTGCGGTCGATCCGCCCCCCCTTTGTTAATTACAAATGCATTGCTCAGTTTGCTTAACGCTATCCCTCACCACCGCAACTATACACATATATATATATATATATAGACCTTATATTTATTCTATTTTCTTTTTTCTTGTGCATCTTTGCAGGTTTCACATAGATAAACGCTGTCAGCACCGATGTTCCTGGAAATGCTTGAGCATCGCCTTAATATTCGTATCCGTCGTCCTAACCGCCATGGTGGCATACTTTGCAGGTAAGCTAACTGCCCATACATATACATATAGATATATGTACATACATATATACGGTTAATGAAAAATACACAAAACATACTCGCGAAGCGTACCTGGGCAAATGTTCGCTCAGTGTACATAAGTGCAAACTACAAACAAGCTATAACAAGGCAAATACATCAAAGTGTTTGCTTTACATTAGCGTTAAATGGTGTTAACTTACACACACATACACACTCGTACTCTAAGAATGGAGCATTGCCCTGGGCAAACATATGCCATATATGTATATACTCTGTGTACATGTATAAGTATGTGTTTTATATATATATATATATATACATGGCATATTCCTGGGCTGCCACAAAATGCTAATTGATAAATGTGCCAACTGATGGTCGGTCGGGTTCCAGCAGCACAATTGACAAGCAATTAGAAACCGCAGCCAACGCTTCGTATTCGAGGTGCAAGTTCGTGGTTTGTCACCCACTAGATCGATGATGATGATGTCACTTGGAGAGGGAGAGGGTTGGGTTTTAGGGGGTGTGAACGAACACTTATAAATTATATTGGAAATGTCTTAAATTAGTTTTGTTTTCGCAAAAGTTTAGAGTTTTTAGCTGATTTTGTGCACATAGCAAGGTCACACTGGTTGTGTTTAGAGTGAACAGCTTAAGGAAATTAAAAAAATTGAAGCTAGAGAAACTTGGCTTTAAAATTAAATATGTTTTGGTATGGGAAAATATTTAAAATTAATTAAAACTTATTTTAAAAATTAAATTCATAGAGAATATAGTCAAAAAAAGGGTTTATTAAAGTCGAATTCAATTTGTAATTGAATTTATTGAATTTATTTATATATTTTCCAAGATTTACTGACCCCTAAAAGTAATTTTAAATATTATTAAAAATAACTATAAATGTCAATTGATTAATACTTTATTTAAATTAGACTTTTAATTTATTTCCGGTTATATAAGTAGTTCCTACTGTTGCTTTTTTCCCCGTTAAATCTCACCTGGATTGATAACAAATATGAAAATGGCTTTTTAATGTTTTTTTGGCAAAAAAGTTGCACTTGCCACATTCCAAGGATGATGATGGTGATGATGATGATGATGCTTCCTGCTTCCCACATCCATTTCCCATTTTCCCCCCCATTCAGTTGGTTGGTTTTTCCTGCTGTTTTTTGTTTACAACTTGATAATTAAACACGTTTTGTGCTGTTGCTGTTGCTGCCTTTCAAATTATATTTACAGGTCAATTTAATTCTTTTTGGCCATTTCTCTTTTCTGCTCTGGCGAACCCTTGGCTTTTCCTCCACTTTAACACTTCCATTTTTGTTCGTGTTTGTTGTTGTTGTTTGTTGTTGTTGTTGTGTTCCTCTGGCAAAAACTTTGCACATTAAAATATGTAAATTTTAATTTGAAACAAAAGGGTTGACGGTTGGCTGTGAGGCGGCAACCCCATCGTTGACGGCAATGGCGACGATGACGACGCCGCCTCAGCCACCTTGCCAGGTCCTCCTAGTTGTCCTTTCTCCTGCTCCATCCCCCCTTCTTTGACAGCTACCCTGCTCGGTCGGTCCTTCTCATCCTCCTTCTCCTTTACTAGAAAATTTTCCTGCGGTGGCCTCTGGTGCCCTGGCATTTTATCTAGTGAAACATTGGCACAACTTTTTGGACACTTTTAGCGTCTGTGCGTCGACATCTGGGCTGCTGGGCAGAGCAGGTTACTTTACCCCTTTTTCTCCACATTTTCCGACACGGGTTTTCCTAGAGTTTTTCTTTCTTTCTTTTTTGTTGTCTGTCTCTTTCTTTTGATAAATCTTACGCGAAGGCATTTAATTTTATGTGGCAGAAATTCTCTTTTTAGTAAAAAAAAATAAGGAAGAAAAGTGCTCCTTGTCGGTTTTGTGAGTGATTTGCGTTCAGGTAAACAAGTTTTCTTTGCTGGAAAACTTGTGAAAATTGTTTATTTATTAATTGAAGGTTGGAATTTATGGGAAAATTAGGTGATTTGAGTTTTTACAAGACAAAATTTGATAGAATTTTGATTTTAGGAGGGGAAAACTATTGATTTAATTATTAATTAATTAATTTATTAAGTTTTATGCTTTTAAATATAGTTTAGAAAATCTAGAAAATTCGTAGGGGGTTTTTAATATTTATTTTTAATAATTTTTTTTTTATTTATTTTATTGTTTTTGTTAAGTTGTAACATTCAAAATTTCTTGGGATTTTTTTTAAATATAAATAATTTAAAAAATAACAAGTAATTTATATTTTTTAAGTAAAAATTTTAGTTTTTTGCTTCTAAATAAAGTATTATGTTTTCAAAACCTTGAGCATTTCTTGATATTTTATTGAAAACATGAATAAATTTAATAATTAATTAATAAATATATGAAAAAATATATAATAAATGTATTAAATAATTACTAATTTTTTTGAAATAAATAATAAATTTAAATAAGAAATTAAATATTTAATTTATAGATTTATTTCCCATTTTTATACCCTTGCAGGGTATTATAATTTTAGTCAAAAGTGTGTGAAGGAGTCATTTCCGACCCTATAAATCATATATATTCTTGATCAGCATTAAAAGCTGAGTCAATTTTGCCATGTCTGCAAGAAAATTAAAAATTAAATATTTTTTTTAATTTAGTTTAGTTTTATTGTTTAAGGAGGTAAAGAAAAATCGAAAAATTTTAAATTGGTTAAATTTGTAATCTTTATATGCAGATTTATTAACCATAAAAAAACTAACTCAGAACAGCTTTCCAAATTGAATTTAATGCATTTTTGGCTTAGTTATTGAATTTTTAAGCCCTAAAGTGATCATATAAAATTATGAATAAATATTTAAAAATTAATACACCTTAAGGAGTATTATAATTTCAGTCCGAAGACTAAAAATTATAGAAGGACTCATTTCCGACCCTATAAATTATATATATTCTTGATCAGCATTAAAAACAGAATCGATCTAGACATGTTTGCAAGAAAATTAAAATTTTTTTTTTTTTTTTTTAATTTTATGTTTAATTTTATTGTTTAAGGAGGTAAAGAAAAATCGAAAAATTTTAAACTGGTTAAATTTGTAATCTTTATATGCAGATTTATTTACCTTAAAAAAACTAACTTAGAACAGCTTTCCGAATTGAATTTAATGCATTTTTGGCTTAGTTATTGAATTTTTAAGCCCAAAAATGATCATATAAAATTATGAATAAATATTTAAAATTTAATACACCTTAAGGAGTATAATAATTTCAGTCCGAAGACTAAAAATCAGGGAAGGACTCATTTCCGACCCAATAAATCATATATATTCTTGATCAGCATTAAAAACAGAATCGATCTAGACATGTTTGCAAGAAAATTAAAATTTTTTTATTATTTTTTTTAATTTTATGTTTAATTTTATTGTTTAAGGAGGTAAAGAAAAATCGAAAAATTTTAAATTGGTTAAATTTGTAATCTTTATATGCAGATTTATTAACCATAAAAAAACTAACTCAGAACAGCTTTCCAAATTGAATTTAATGCATTTTTGGCTTAGTTATTGAATTTTTAAGCCCTAAAGTGATCATATAAAATTATGAATAAATATTTAAAAATTAATACACCTTAAGGAGTATTATAATTTCAGTCCGAAGACTAAAAATTATAGAAGGACTCATTTCCGACCCTATAAATTATATATATTCTTGATCAGCATTAAAAACAGAATCGATCTAGACATGTTTGCAAGAAAATTAAAATTTTTTATTTTTTTTTTTAATTTTATGTTTAATTTTATTGTTTAAGGAGGTAAAGAAAAATCGAAAAATTTTAAACTGGTTAAATTTGTAATCTTTATATGCAGATTTATTAACCTTAAAAAAACTAACTTAGAACAGCTTTCCGAATTGAATTTAATGCATTTTTGGCTTAGGTATTGAATTTTTAAGCCCAAAAATGATCATATAAAATTATGAATAAATATTTAAAATTTAATACACCTTAAGGAGTATAATAATTTCAGTCCGAAGACTAAAAATCAGGGAAGGACTCATTTCCGACCCAATAAATCATATATATTCTTGATCAGCACAAAAAGCGGAGTCGATCTAGCCAAGTTAAGAAGAAAAACATTGAAAATTTTTTTTTTGTATTTTTGAGTTCTTAAAATGGTTCAATTGTCAAAGAAAAAATAGGCAAAAATTTCCAAATTTTAAAATGTGAAATTTAGTATGCAGATTTGTTTATCTGGAAAAAAATAGCACAGAAAAAGCTCTCCGAATTGAATTTGATGATTTTTTGGCTTAGTTATGATGAATTTTTGATTGAATGAAGGATCCTATGGCAAACTGCAAGGGTATACAAATTTCGGCTTCCCGAAGTTAGTTTCCTTTCTTGTCTTACGTAAAATGTATATTTGTGTCTCCAGCTGACAGCTTTTGGCGCTTTATCATCCATCCCCCGGACTTGTTTGTTTGTGCCAAACCATTTCAAATTCAAGCCACTCATCTCGCCCTCTCTCTCACTCTGGGTTTTCCCGCACTTTCTCCTTGATTTTCCCCACCGCCTTTCTCACTTTCTCCCTGCGTTTAATTTATTATCTACGTAGAAGAAGCGGCAGCGGCAGCAGCTGCTTGAGAGTCGGAGGCACTGATTTACAGTTGGCTAAAAGCTGCGGCTTGTTTACGGGGGGGGAAGGAGGATGGAGGAGGGGGTGCCTTGGGGTGGGGGTTGGGCCTCAAGGTTGTTGATGATGGTTTGGGGGGTGGGGCTGCGGCGGTGTCACACAAAGCATTGCAAGTGAACGAAAACAAATTTACAACACAGCCACGAGTAAGATATATACAAATTTACAAAAATATATATGTATATGTAGATATATATATATGTGTGTGAGGTTCCCCCCCGCAGCCCAGACTTTTTTGGTTTTTTGGCACAAAATGAATTTAAGTTGAAAAGTTGTGAACATTTTGTGGCAGCAGGGGTGGCATTTTTCGGCTGCTGCTGCTGCG